CAGTAACAATATTTATTATTCTTCATGTATACATTTTAGGCAACTAAGGCAAAAATGTAATTTAGAAAATCTTTTCAGGACCCCACTTTGATGTTTCAGGACCCCACTTTGATGTTTCAGGACCCCACTTTGGGTCCCAACCCCAACTTTGGGAACCACTGCTCTAAGCCATTGTTTTCATCAGCAGGGAGTAAATCTCTGCTCATCTCTAAAAGATAGAATTAACAGGATGTTTGCTGTCGTCCTTTTTGTCTTTGGTTGGTCAAAGTTTCATAACTTGTCAGGAGCTGCTGAAAGGATCGCACAACTTTAAATTTGTCACGGACGTCTCTAGAGGTGTTCTGCTTTGATCTTTTCCATACTGACTTACTCTTTTTAGATAATACTGTAATGCAGTATAAGGTGTTACAGGGGTCAGTGTGGAAAGGGGCGGGGCGTGTTGAATATTTAATAATTAATGGAGAAATGGCTGCTTGTGAGGATTCATATAGCTTGACATTCTAGAGCAGTGGTTTCCAGCAGTTGTGGTTCCCCCGTTCTTTATTCCAAGCCCCCTAAACCACCACTGCAATCCCAATCTACTCCCCACCTCTCCCAAAGACGCCTTCAACCTTTATCTCTTTATCAAAATAATAAAAGAATAAAGTCTGTAAAGCCTCGACCCATGACTGTGATCTGTGGAGGTTGAGACATTCGTACACTTTTATTTCTAACAGAGGTCTATAAAGTACTTGAAAAAAATAACTAAGTAAAAGTAAAAATACTTTAACAGAAAATAGTAAAAGTAAAAGTACTTTTACACTCTCTTTAAGAAACTGTAGAATTTACTTTAACAGTCTTTTTTCCACCGGTGGGCAAAAATAGTTCAGTTTCTTTTTTTAAACGCCTCCAGATGCTATCAGGTTTTATTTTGAGGACTAGGGTGTCAGAAAACTTCCTCTGGTTCTACCTTTAGTTCTGCACCCTTAAAACTGTCAAAAGGCTTTTTAGGAATTTCAGGGGTGTCTGTTAAGGGSTTAACCAAACTGGTTCCACTAAACGAAGTGGAGAAAMTATTCTTGCCTCGTACTCTACTAGCTGACATGMCTTAGTTGAGTAAATTGAACACTTCATTTTTTAGAGAATGGATAAACAACTCCTTTCATGATGAGTTTGAACATATTTAATTTTGTAACAAGTAACTAGGTGTCAAATTTTAAGAAGCAAAAGTATAAATTTTAGGTTTTAAATGCAACGAACTAAAAGTTAAAGTAACGATTAAAAATATGTGGTAAAATTACAAATCCTCAAAAGTACTGTAACGAAGTAAATGTACTAATTTACTATAAACCTCTGATTTCTAAGTCCATGCTTGGGTT